CGTCTTCACGCTTCCCATCATACCTTCTGTGTTATGGATGTGCCCACCTCCAAGTTACATAGTATTTTTATTATTTAAGATAGCGGTGTTACCTCTTTCTTTCTTGGGTGAGATAAAGCACGGAACCAAAAACTAAAGGGAAAAATAATAACAAAAATAGGAAATAAATGAGCACAGAAGAAACCTCTGAGGAAAGAGAAGCAAACAACGAAACAAACCAGGAGCAAGGTTCCAGAGGCTCCTAGCTGATGGGAAGCCAGAAGCTGTGTCAAGGAGGAACAGATACCCTCCTTGCTTAGTTATCAAATATGTTTAACCATAATGTTCCAACCCACCCCCAAATAAAGAGAGTAGCATCAGAATTGTAGCTTATGCTTAAAAACTTATTATGAAAAATCTGTTGATATTTCTATTTGGGAACCAAAGCCACTAAACCTATAGTAAGTGAGGAGTAATACAGATAGATTGATAAAATTACACTTCCATGCTTTTTCTTCTTCTTTCTCATTCTTCCTAGAAGCTGTACATTACAACTGCGTACTTCCCATGCTCCTAGCTATCTATTCTTGTCTTTCCTCTAATTACTTAACGGCTAAAGTAATTGTTGCACTTCACAGAACTCAGTTGAGCACGTGGATGTGCTTTTCATCATGAAGAAAAGTATGAAAAACAATATTTGACCAAAATCCATTTCAGCACTGACCAGTTTTGGCTCTTTTGGGGATTCAGTTTGAATTAGATAAAATTACCTAAAATCTCTTTCTTAAATGCTTCCTGTCAAGTTTTGCACAAGTGGCCATTTCAGGGAAAAAAGGAGACTGGGGGGGGGGGGGGGCGGCTGGAGGCAGTGGATGCCATTTGTTACTAAAAAAAGAAAAAAAAAAGCCTGGAATTAGAACTTTTAATCCATGCTTTCCCTTAGTAGGCAATGTATAAACAAAAAAGCACAAAATGTATCACCTTTAACATGGTTAGTATGTCCAAAGCTACTGCTGTCCATGATTAGATATGAGAATGCAGGCACTTTACAGTACCTTCTTTATATGCCCCTTCTGAAATTAGTAAATGCAGCCAGATGTGGTAGTTGGGTTGATGAGATCTAGCTGAAGTTTCCATGCAGGCTGTGGTTACCCCAGAGTGGTATGAGGCAGGAACTCAACCTGGTTTTCAAAGGTTAGGTGTTAACTGTTGTCAGTGCTGCAGAGGTGGAAGTTTGAAAGGCTCTTGTGCTACTTATGGTCAAAGAACATAAAATCAGAAAACCAACTCACCTTGAGAACATGGCCACTGGGACATGGGATCCCACATGAAATGGCACTTCAGTTCCTGATATGAAAAAAACCAACCAAACAAACAAACGAAAAAAAGAAAAAACACCACCAAACAAACCTAAATACAGCAATTATTTATTTCCAATTAAAATAATAATATGAAGCTGTGGAACTTATTTGATGACACAAGAGATCTGACGTTTACCAGATGGGACAAAGGAGGTTTTGTTCCTTCCTAAGAACACAGTCGAGGTGCATGGTTGCTCTTATTTGGGGAGGTTCAGCCTCCTCTTAGCATCACATAACTCATGCTCTGAATAGAGCATACCTGGCTGGCAGAGGGCTGGAGGGCACAGCCCAAAAAATTATTACAATACCACTGTGCCTACACTTACACTAATGCTGCAACATCTGAATCTGTGCAATATCAGATCTCATACTTCCAAATTTGCTAGACCCTTCAGACCCCACCAGGACTTGAATGCTAGTTCAGCCTTTCAAATTCCTTCTGCTTTCATGTATACCCTGCGAAGGCATTTAGTCCAGAGAAAGAAAAAGTGATGTCCTTTTTTATGTTTGGTTGGCTGGCTGATTGGAGCAGCCATACAAAGTATCCTCAGCACTGGCTTCACACAGTTTCATGCTCAGAAAGCATAGCAAGATGTTGATAAACTACAATTACCTGGTTGTAGCACTTCCTCCAGGTCTTCAATACATCTTCTGTTCAGGCTGATCAAGCTGCTTGTGATCAGTTCCAGGAATGAAGAGAATAAACTAGGCATGAGTAGCCCTTAAGGTTTATCCTGACTTACAACCATGTCTTGCTAATCATCTGGAACTGTGCTGCACACATATGAACGGCGAAGGAGAGATAAAGAACAAAACCAGCTTATAGAAAGACTTGTGGGAAAATATGGGTGAACAGAATCCTGTAAGAGTTGTAATGCAATTGCCAGCAGCTGCTCTGCTAGCATCATGTGCTTCTGCTAACATTTTATCTGGAGGTGTGCAAGTGTGATAAAGTCAAAGAGCGATGTGCTGCTACATTCATTAGCTTTTGTGCCAGCTTTAGAAGCAAGAAGGCATCTTTTAAAAACCTGAAGCTGAGTCCAGGTGAAGGAAATGGAAAGGATAAAACTCTGGTGGATTAAATATAAAAATAAATGGAAGAAAACTTCAAGGAACTAAAGTAACCCCATGGTTTACAGTTTTCAGAATATAAAGGAATCTGCCAGACCTCCCTGGTGGATCCACCAGTGTCAGGTTTTTAAAAGAAAAAAAAAACAAAACAAAACCTAATCATTGAAACTTGATCCCCCCATAAACAACAAAGCCATTGCAAAGAATCAAAGTGTGTTCCTTGCATGTGTATTGTACCTGGAGGAAACACAAAACAGGCTCATGCTAGGAGCACTTCTGCAGGAGAGCTCAGGAGCTGTCTGAAAACCAAGCATCTATAAATGTTACTGTATTTTCAGAACTTTTGTGGTTGGAAGGGACCCTTGGAGATTGTCTAGTCCAACCTCCTGTTAAGAGTAGGGTCTGAGCAGCTTGTTCGGTACTGTGTCCAGTTGGGTTCTGAATATCTCCACGGATGAAGACACCCCAGTCTCTCTGGGTAACCAGTGTTTGACCATCCTCAGAGTAAAACTTTTTCTCTTGCACCTAAATGGAGTTTCCTGTCTCAGTTTTTCTCCACTGCATCTTGTCATGTGACTGGGCACCACTGAGAAGAGATTAGCTCCATAGTTACTGCCTCCCATCAGTATTTATACAAACTGGTAAGATCCCCTGGAGCTTTCCAGGTTGAACAGACCTGTCTCTTAGCCTCTCCTCATATGAAGAGGTTTCCATCCCATAATCAGCTTAATGGCCCTTCACTGCACTCCTGGTCCAGTACATCCATGACTTTCTTCTTCCGACAGAATCCCAAGGTGGCCACAGCGCTCCAGATGTGTCTCACCCGGTCTGAGTGGGCAGAGGGGAACGATCTCTTCTGGCAGCGCTGGCAGCACCCTTTGTAGCGCATCCCGGGATGCTGTTGGCCACCTTTGCCGCAAGGGCGCATTGCTAGCTCATGTTCAACTTGGTGCCTCCCAGGAGCTGCCTTCCAACCGATCTGCCCCCAGCCTGTGCTGCTGCATGGGGTTTCCTGGCACTCCATCAGGTGCTAGGCTTTGCAGCTCCCTGCACTGATTCTCATCAGCAGATTTCTCCAGTTTGGTCAGGTCCCTGTGAACACAGCACAGCCATCTGAGGTACTGACCACTCCGACCAATTCTGTACTATTTGTGAGCTTGCTCAGGGTGCACTCTGCCCCACCAGACAGACACTTAAAGGAGATGTTAACCTGTGCTGGGACCACTATCAGTCTCTGGGGTACACTGCTAGTGACTGGTCTCCCACTGGACTTATTGCCACTGACTTCATGCCTCTGAGTCCAGCAGCTCAGCCAGTTCTCAGTTTTCACTGTCTAGCCTGTACTTCATCGGTTTCTGCACAAGGATGCAATGGGAAATGGTGCCAAAAGCCACACTAAGGTCAAGATAAGCAACAGCCATTGCTCTCCTCTCATCCAGCAACCAGTAACCTCATCACAGAAGGCTACCATGTCACAACTTCCTCTTCACAGATCTGCCCTGACTACTCCCGGTCACCTTTTTGTCATTTGTATGCTTGGCAGTGGTTTCCAGGATTATTTGTCCCACCACTTCCCATGGGATTTAGGTGAGGTTGAATGGCTTGAAGTTGTCTAAATACTCTGTTCTAGCCATCTTGCAGATGTTAGATTTGCTTTCTTGCAATCCTCAGGAATCTCTCCTGACCACCATGACCTTCCAAAGTTCATCAACAGTGGCCTTGCAGTGACATCAGTGAGCATTCTTAGTGTATCACATCAGATCCCATGAACTCAGGCATGTGTCATTTGTTTGGATGTTCCCTAACCTGACCCTCACTACCAGCAGTGAGTCTTCCTTGCTCCAGACTTCCCCTGGTCTCTCAACCCTTGCATGTTTATTTGTTATGTTTCAGTTTAGTCAGGAGCAATATTTTATCCTTGCAAGCATTCTGCCACCTCTGCTTGATTTTCTGCTCATCAGGATGTACCTATCTCGAGCTTTTAGAAGCAGTCCTTGACTATGAACCAGGTATCCTGAGGCTCTCTTCTCTCCAGGACCATAGCCCATGAAACTCTCTAAAAAAACCTCTGTCCTAGTTACATGGTTGACATATATTGCTAATACAACTTTGCTTGGAAGGAGTTGTGCTGTGTTGAATTATATTGGAATTCTTTAGGAGCACAAACAGCACGCAGATAAGGACCTGGCTGATATGTTTGCTCCCTTTGGATTTCCAAAGGTACCTGAAAAATCCTTCACTGCAAACTTTTAAAGGTACTCAGCAGCCATATTTAGAGGAGAAAATCTTGGGCTGGGTAAGTCAAAAGGTAGGAGCAGAGTGTAAAAGTGGCAGTTCTCTCAACTAGGAAGCTCCCACTGGTGTTTCACAGGGTCATGTGTGGCTCAGCACATCCATAAATGAAGTGCAAAAGGGTGAGCCACAATATAATCCCACCATCAGCAAATTTGTTTATTTAGGACATGAGTGCAAGGGCCAGCTACAAAGTGGCAGAGAAAATTCAAGGCAGATTGACATAAAGTGAGGCAAATAGGCAAAATAATCCTTATCACATAGAACTATGGATTCTGAGCCATCAGGCCTGAGATGTTTCTTGATTAGAATTAACTCAAGGCTCATCAGCAACCAAAAAGAAGCATATCAAATTTTTGCAGATGCTAAAGAATAGAAAGCATCTTTATGACAGCAGGTTATGATGTGCCTATTTTGAGAGCTGTGCAGAGTTCTTCCTCCCATTCAAAAGAGAGCTCGGTAAAACAGACGGACACATCTGCAGAGCTGATTACACCTTCAAGAGCAGGTCTTGGCCATCCAGTATTCTTCTGTCAAGTATAGCAGAGGATTTGAAGGGTGCTTGATTTTTCAGAGAGACTCAAGTAGCACTTATTGATACTAAAGTATCATTAAGCACAACAGCAAGTTCCTAGCAGTTTAAGCAACAAGCTACCTAGACTGGCAAAATAAATACAACACATAAGTATCTAGAACTATTCAAAAGCTTTAATTCCATTTCTTTATTATATTCTTTTGAAGACTGGAGAAATATTTTTATCTAAGGCTTGATGTTAAGGTGAGGCATGCCAATTTCTTTATCCAACATTTTATCTTATATGCCCTCAGCTAATAATTTTAAAAGGTAACTGGCTGGTTCTGATAAGCTTTATAAGAGATTCTTGTTATGCAACATGAAAAAAAACGAAGTTCTTTTCCTATAGCACAATTATTTTGACAGAGAAAACGCAGGAAATCTATTCCAGAATTTACCTTGGGTTTTTTGATCCCACGAAGCATTTTACAGTTCCAATTAAGGGGGACAGAAGAGCAAGAAATAATTAAGCTTAGATACACTTTATAAACCATTAATATCAATGGCCAAGCCAAATACCATAAAGACCTACAGAATCATCTCAAATTCACATAGCTGCTCATTTCCAGGATTCCATAGGGCTAAGAACAGATGTGTGTCAAAAATCAGGAAGCCTGCTTGATTCCTTTGGGATTTTTCTCCAGAATGGAAGCAAGAGGGAGGAAGGGGAAAAAAGTAAAACAGTTTGACTGAAACATCACTCACTCTCCTGTGTCAAGAAGTGGAGTCGTTGAACTGAACAGCAATTATCAGCTACAGCAGACAGATCTTCCTAGCTCCAGATAAGGGTTCAGAGCTCAATAGATGTATAATTATCAGTTCTGATAAATCAGGGATCAGAGCTTTTTGTCTCCAGCATTGCCTACTTTTTTTCTCAGCACTTCTTTTCTCAGACACATTGCAACCAGGTTAGGAAAGATAGCAGAGAAAGCATAAGCAGTACAGAGTATAGTTCAATAGTGCTTTGAGCAGTGGCAGAGGATCATTATTGCTGCTTTAATCAGTTTTCCTTTTCAGTATTTCAAGTATCTTATCTAATACTTACCCATGCATTACAAAGAGTAACACCCCCCTGACCACGATTTAGGAGGTTTTGGTATCTATACATCTCCCTTCATATTTTCCCAATTATTTTTGTTTTTATACTCTGCCTGTACCTCCAAAACCTGGGAACTTCCTATTCCATACAAGATACTCTTATAATACTTCAAACTAAATAAAGTTTACAATATACCAACTAGCAAGTTGCAGCTATACACCTGGCAGCACAGAGGTCTCACAAAAGCACAAATTGTTAATGATTGTTCTTACTCTTAATAGCCTTAGACTAACAAAAATGTTCCTTGTTTAGATGAGTGTATGGGTAGTTCACATCTTCCATTTCAGAAAGAGCATACTCACCGAGATTAAGTACATCCAAGAACAAGAAGAGAACCCACTGACACTCTATTTCTTTTTCTGTATTCATTAATTTGTGATGCATACTCATTCCTTCGTAAATGAAGAGGAAAAGCTCAAACACACAAACCTAGCAAAGAACTATTCATAGCTGACATTTTGGAGATACCAAAAGGCATTAAGTACAAAGAACCTTCCAGAAGCAGCCCCTTTTATATACTTATTTGAAAACAGCTATTTCTCTGCACATCACATTCCCCATTTTCTCCCTGAGCAAGGAAGCTCACAACAGATCAACCAGAGAAAGCCAGAGTTGCTAATGTCTCGATCCTTGCCTCTATCCCCTTCCATGCTAAAACCCCACAGTTTTGATAAATGTATTTATTTATAATCTTCTTACAGCAAAATATCAAAACAGTTTCTTTTTTTTCTTGAGTATAAAACACAGCAACAAAGCCTTTAGATCACACAGGGGCTAAATCATCATGTTCAGAGAAAAGGCAGGGGGAAAGAAGAGGCAGCAGCAAAGGAAACAGTCCCTAGTTTTCCTAGAGGCTCTGCTTGAGGGCCTTGAGGCTGGGAAGCAGCTGGGCTGCACTTAGGCGCTCCTCTACATTAGCCTTCCAGCAGCAGCTGATAATGCTCTGCAGTCTCTGTCCCACTGGTGACTCATGGAAAATGGCAGCAGCCAGCGAAGGGCGCAAGTTGTAGGCTACCACAGCGTAGAGCACGTACTGCCGCTCGCCCAGGTAGGGCTGCTCCCGCATGACGATCTGCCAGAGGGTGATGCCAAACGAGTAGATGTCCGCTTTGGCAGTGACCCTCTCGCCCTTCAGGAGCTCAGGGGCACGGTGTGTGTACGTGCCCCCCTGCTGGCAAACATGGGGGCTCTGGGACAAGCCCTCCTCCAGCTTCTGGGAGCATCCAAAGTCTCCAATCTTGCACACTCCCTGCTCAGTGATGAAGACATTTGCAGGCTTCAGGTCCAAGTGCACAATGCCCTGTGTGTGAAGAAAGGCTAAGCCAGTCACAATGTCACAAGAATAGCACACAGTCTCCTCCATGCTCAGGGCCTTCCCTCCACATCCTCCTTCATCATCTTCACCCTGTCTCCACACACCTCCAGTGCCGTAGATTACATGGTGCAGGGTGATGTTGCCCACGTACTCCATAATGATGGTCCCCAGGCTGTTCTGGCTGGCTGGGGCACATGTGCTGGCAGCCACCACACGTACCACATTATTATGCTGTAGCCAGGCTACATTCAGCTCAGCCCAGAAGCTCTGCCGTGATGCCAGCCGGTTTTTGCTGCTCTTCTTCACCTGCTTCACAGCCACAGTGGCACCATGGTAGGTGGCTTTGTAGACAGAACCAAAGCCCCCAGAACCAAGAGGCTGCAGGAGGCGGAGCTGATCCCAGTCAATGGAGCACCAGGCCAAGCGTGGAGGCAAGCGGCGGGTCCTGATAGATGGAGTTCCTCCCAGAGAGCTCTTGCTGTCTTTGCCAGGGATAACTAAGGGGCTGCTGCAGGGTCGCAAGTCCGCAGATGGGGAAAACTCAAAATGGAGAAAACAATTAAGAGGAATGGGTGATGGCATAATAAGGTGGAGAAAACAACAGGCAGGCAGTTTGTCACTAATTGTTTTTGCCTGTTAAAACAGAAGACTGAAAAGTTTTCCTGGCAGAAAGGACTCTGAAGAGGCTTTCAAAGCCTTTTATCCTCTCTTCACCATTCTCCATCCCACCCACCCCCAAATGAACTGCGTCTGTCACAACTAGCTGAACCCAATGAGGCTCACCTGGAAGCATTCTCCACCCCTGAAGCAAATTTCTAGAAAGTCAAGGCAAATGGATTTAGAGCTAAAAAGGTATGAACTCACGTGTATTTCACATCATTTCTAATCTCAAGAGGAAAGAATGATGTTCTGCCCATTGAATGCCATTTTTGCCTCTAGCAAAAATGCCCTGAGATTAAATAATGCAGTGATTGGTGAATCATTTCACCATGGCTTCAGGCACAAATGATCATCAGATACATTAAACAGCTCAAAGTCATATCAGAGGAAGCAGCTGAAGTTGTGATTGCTAACATTTGATGAGGCTGTGGCAGGCATAACCAGCTATAAAAGTGTGTTTGTAGAAACTTGCCACTTAAACTGACTAGGATAAGGAGTCCTGTTTAGCTGCTCAGCTTTGCCTGTGCAGGACAGCAGCCTTAGTAGCAGCATAAACACAAATGATTGCTTTGTATAATCCATTAGAAATAGCAGCTAGAATTATACATAAACATTTGGTCATCTTCCCATTGCACCCCATGCAGTTATTACAGGTGTGTATTTTATCCCTGGATCCTGCTTAGTGAGCTTATTACTAAATTCACAGAGCTGTTGTAGCAGAAATCAAGCAAGCATGATTTCACCTTGCTGGTCCCAATAGTTTTCAGAGGAGGTTTTGCTTTTCTCACCCTGCTTTCACATATTCACAGTGTTTATGCTATCTGCCTTTGTGTTTGGCACCTGCTGTACCTGCTGTGCATCAGAGCACCATTATGGGACCTATGGAGCTTTTGGGTATTTTAGTAAGTATCTTTCTTCATGTGTTGAAAAATATCTTGGAAAGTTTGGTCCCCATTTCCCTTCAGAATCTTCCTCTGGATGTCAGCTTTGCCAGTACAGATCCTGGTGTGGGTCTTCAAAGATAAGCATGCCTGTTTCTCCAGAGTTTACCTTGGTACTCTGCAGGCAGTTCCCGAGTAGTTTTCCTGGTATTTCCTCTTCTTTTTGGTTTGTTTCTCTGTATGAGTTGAGGGGTGCTCAGAACATGTGCAAGCAGAACTGGAGCATTCTCCACCTTACGATGGGTTTAGTTGCTCACCCTAACAGACCCATATAATGTCCCAAAGACATCTTCTGACCTTACCTGAATTCAAAATCAGCTCAGCCAGAGGGTTTTGTAGTGAAACCAGTGATGGATATCTTCCCTTGTGCTGAGATTTAGGAGAAATTTGATCAGAAGAAATTTGTCATCACAATTCACAGGGAAGCAAACTTAGACCAGAGTTGAATGAGAATAGGGTATTTGGGTTATCACCTGCCACCGTGAAACAGATAGGCTGTGGAGGAGGTACATAAATAGGTGCTAATATGCATTCTAGGAGTTGTTAACAAGTGAGAGTGCAGGAAGTTAGGGGTGCAGAGGGCTTTCTGTGAGACAGTCCCTACAGATGGGACTGCTTGACAGCAAAAGGCTCTTCCTACCTTGCCCCTTCCAGGAGGGACTTGACATCCTTGTCTCTAAATTGGAGAGACATCAACTTGATAGGTGGATCGCTCAGTGGATGAAGAACTGGCTGGAGGGCTGCACGCAAAGAGTTGTGGTCAATGGCTCAATGTCCGGCTGGAGACCAGTAACGAGTGGTGTCCCTCAGGGATCGGTGTTGGGACCGGTCTTTGTTGATAACATGGACAGTGGGATTGAGTGCGCCCTCAGCAAGTTTGCCGATGACACCAAGCTGTGCGGTTCAGTTGATACCCTGGAGGGAAGGAATGCCATCCAGAGGGACCTCGACACACTTGTGAGGTGGGCTGATGCCAACCTCATGAAGTTTAACCATGCCAAATGCAAGGTCCTACACCTGGGTCGGAGCAATCCCAGGCACAGCTACAGGTTGGGTAGAGAAGAGATTCAGAGCAGCCCTGCAGAGAAGGACTTGGGGGTGTTGGTTGATGAGAAAATGAACATGAGCTGGCTTCAGTGTGCGCTTGCAGCCCAGAAAGCCAATGGTATCCTGGGCTGCATCAAAAGGAGCGTGACCAGCAGGTCGAAGGAGGTGATCCTGCCCCTCTGCTCTGCTCTTGTGAGGCCTCACCTGGAGTATTGTGTGCAGTTCTGGTGTCCTCAACATAAAAAGGTCATGGAACTGTTGGAACAAGTCCAGAGGAGGGCCACGAGGATGATGAGGGGACTGGAGCACCTCCTGTATGAAGACAGGCTGAGAAAGTTGGGTCTGTTCAGCCTGGAGAAGAGAAGGCTGTGTGGAGACCTCATAGCAGCCTTCCAGTATCTGAAGGGGGGCTGTAGGGATGCTGGGGAGGGACTCTTCATTAGGGACTGTAGAGATAGGACAAGGGGTAACGGGTTAAAACTTAAACAGGGCAACTTTAGATTGGATATAAGGAGGAAATTCTTTCCTGTTTAGGGTGGTGAGGCACTGGAATGGGTTGCCCAGGGAGGCTGTGAATGCTCCATCCCCGGCAGTGTTCAAGGCCAGGTTGGACAGAGCCTTGTGTGACATGGTTTAGTGTGAGGTGTCCCTGCCCATGGCAGGGGGGTTGGAACTAGATGATCTTAAGGTCCTTTCCAACCCTAACTATTCTATGATTCTATGACATCAGACATGCAGGGAAGTTTTGGGGATGGGAGAGCGACCAAAGGAGCTTGAGTGTAGTTTTAAATGTGCAGTGAAGTAAGCCATGGAGACAGCAGGTATTTTATGCTCCTTTTCTGAGTGGCACTATGATTTTATGCTTGTATGCAGAAGTCTTCACTTCTGATCTTTGCAGAGAATGTTTTCCAAGCAGGTCAGTTGTGATGGAAATGAAAAGCTGCAGTAAGCAGAATAAGCTGTAGGGGAGAGAGAAAGGAATTTTATGCCTATTTTCTGAGTGCAAATAGGGCTCCAATTGTAGCATGGACATCAGTGCCATATAGTATATAAAAGCAGCAGGGAGACATCTGTGCTGTGAATTCTCCAGGAACCTCATCCTTCCCATGGGAGAGCACTGGTTACACCCTGTTTTCACCAGGTTATGGTGTCAGAGAAGTTCAAAGGGAAAGTTGGTTGAGGGAGAGGAACTAGGCAGAAGGATGCATGGCTGAAGGGCCTGAGAGTGGACTTGTTAAGCTGACAACTACAGGAGCATTTCTGGGGATTCTGAATGCTACAGAACACAGCAGTAAAATCTGTGTTCATAAAACAGGGCTGTTTCCAAACTCCTTTGGCTGAAGTCTCATTTGGAAGGATAGAGCAGACCTTCCATGGTACTTTTTCTAAACTCCATGTTCTCCCCTCTCCTTCCAGTTGTCCCTTTTTTTGGAAATTTTCCTGTTACCCTTTTTGGTTAGAAACCTTTCTGGTTTGCCCCTGTCATTCCAGGCAGGTTGTATTGCTCTTGGGGAATACACTGGATTTCTAAACTGGAAGACGACTGTGTTTTGGGATTAAATAGCCTTAATGCAACTCATTGTCATGTCTCAAGCTGACTGCTGAGGACTGGAGCAGGGAGACATGCAGTGTCTTGCAGCGTGAATGCAATTAAAGCAGATTTAAAAGCAAGCAGGTTTTTAATAAATGTGATTTTCCTGTAACCCATTGATGGCTCAGGCCCAGTGACCTCCCACAAGACACAACTGCTGTAGGACATCCTTGACACACTGCACAGCCCTGTTTGGCTCCAGCATTACCAGTGGCTGGAGGAGATGGCCACAGCATGGTCCAGGAAGCCATTTTCAGAGGCAAGCAGGGCTGCTGGGGACAAACTGCCCCCTCCCTCCTGGCCACCCTGCCCCAGGGAACCCACAGCATCACAACTGGTACCCAGGGAACCCATAGCAGTCTCCAATCACTCTGCTCCCATTTCATATTTCCATGAGGGAAAAGGAAGCTGTATGAACCAAAAGCCATCAGCAGAGAATGCAACAGGAACTTTCACAAGTGACAGTCTGTGTCCCAAGGGCTGCAGTTTGTCACAGCTACCATAACCTGTGGCAGTGATGGTTTTGTTCCAAGCTTGTGCATCACATTGTACTTGCACAGGCAAGTAAAACATGCCTGTGCATCTGATGCTGCAATAGCTGCCCAGCCTAATCTGTGCTTCCAGATGAGAAGAATCAGTCTTGCTCAGTTCATCCATTTATATTTGTCCTGGGTTCAGCAGTAGCAGTCATGTTTCTCCTTCTTGGTAGCTGGTGCAGTGCAGTGTTTTGACTTTCAGCTTGGGAACAGAGCTGATAACAAGCGATGTTTTGGTTTGGCCAAGGACTTTGTGAGCCTCATGCTCTGCCAGGGAGGAGGGGAAGCCAGGAGGAAGCAGAGACAGGACACCTGACCCAAACTGACCAAAGAGGTATTCCATACCACAGCACGTCATGCCCAGGATGTAACTGGGAGTTAGCCGGAAGGGCTGGGAGGCTGCAGGGTTGGAGGAGGTATCGGTCAGAGCTTGGTCAGGCTGGGGGGGCAAATTATTGGTCGGTTGGTGCTGAGGTGTTGTATTCTCTTCCCTTGTTATTTCCTTTATTGTTATTATCATTGGTGGTAGCAGTAGTGATTTGTGTTATACCTTAGTTACTAAACTGTTCTTATCTCAACCCGTGGGAGTTGCATTCTTTTCGATTCTCCTCTCCGTCCCTCTGGGAGTAGGGGGAGGGCAAGAAAAAGGGGGGGAAGTGAGCGAACGAGTTACCTGACTGGGTTTAAACCTCGACAATATTTCACTCGGATATTGGGAATACAGAAACTCTTTGGTTGCCATCACTGTCAGTTACTATTGCTGTTTGTTGAGTTGCTGGACAGAAGTCAACCTCAATAGCAAGGGCCTTAAAGGACTGTGGATGTAACCCACCACAATAGAGAACTTGTACAAAACACCAGAGTTTCAATCTAATCAAAATGCATTACTATTGTGGTTCTTAACAGCCAAAGTTTTGTCTAAAACAGGAGAAGGACAGAGCTGGTGGTTGGAACTGATTTCAGAGAGTCTAAGAGTGTATCACAATCATTACTTTGTACATTTGGTTGGTGTACCATGTAACAAACCCTTGAAGGCATGACTGTCCAGTGGCTTCTAAGA